AGCCTGGCAAACATGACAAAACCCCATCTCTACTAAAAATACAAAAATTAGCTGGGTGTGATGGCACGTGCCTGTAGTCCCAGCTACTTGGGAGGCTGAGGCAGGAGAATCGCTTGAACCTGGGAGGCAGAGGCTGCAGTGAGCTGAGATCATGCCACTGCACTGCAGCCTGGCGACAGAGCGAGACTCTGTCTCAAACAAACAAACAAACAAACAAACAAATGAACAAACTGAAAGGTGCTAAGGGCTTGGTGAACAAGAAGGCCTTGAAAAAATTGAGAAGACAAATAGTGAACGTTTAAGGGAGAATTTAAATGATGGATAGAAATATTAGTGACATAGACAAGTGTGTTGTTAGAAGGAAAGAGAATAAGTGAGCACCTAGGATGAATCTGAATGATGGGCAACATTTCAGAGAAACCGTTAGCCCTAAGCAGAAATTTAAAGGCAGAGAAAGGAAGGAGGCTTCCAGGAGGGACAGAAAAGAGAAAGTAACGTCTCAAAATAAAGAAATTAATATTTAAGGAAAACAATACAGACTTTGGAGCCAGCAGGTTTGAATTTCAGTCCTAGCTCTGCCTCTTGCCGGCAGTTTGAGCCTAGTCAAATCCCTTACCATGCCAGAATCCCAGAGGCCTCATTGTAACGTGGCTGGACTTGGCCTTACAGCTGTTCTAGGGTTAAATGAGAGAATGGACTATGAAGGTGATATTTCTATAACATAGTCATGTATTTGAGTATCAAGATTGATTGGATTAATCTGGCTGGATCTTCTTCCTCTATCCCTGCCTCAAGCCACTCCTCCTAAAACTGCCTCCCACATCAGGGCAAGTTTTACTCAGAGTCCTTGGAGTAGTTGCATAGGAAAACTGCTCTGGTCTAATAGAATTTCTAGTTATGTTAAAGCATAGTGTAAACGTCCAAGTCCTTAAAAAAATGAGTCATTATAGAAACAATCAAGATTGAAGAAAATCTTGGGGAAGGGCACAGTGAGTGGGAATTGAGAAAGAAATATGGTCTCCTTTATTTGGATTTCTTACCTCCTAGGCCTTCTTTTCCCAATCCAGTTTTCTCCCCAGAGATGCTTCACATTCTTTGTTCAGGCCTTTTCACTTCTCTTCACTCAACACAACTTTCCTTTCTTTCACAGGTCACCTCCTCCTGGAAGACTTCCTAAAATGATTCCCAATTGTCCTTCAAGCTGTCAACAGAATCCTCACTCACTCTTCCCCCCTCACTGCCCCTTTAAATTTGGTAATGACAGATTTAGGTTGATGATGGATACACTTCATCTGCCTTATTACACACCCCAATTCAATAATGCTAAATTTTGTTGATGGTGGATACACTTTACCTGGCTTATCACACTTCCTAAGGGCAGGAACCATGACTGTCCTGTGATCAGTCTCCCAAACTCCTCCTCATACTTATCTCTCCCTCTTGAAAGCTTCTAAAGACTTGTGGGGCTTTTAAAAGCATGAGGATGTTGCTAATTTGGAGGAGAGAAACTGAAGGATAAATAAAAGGATAGAAGGAAAAAAATGAAGAGAAGGAAAAGAAGGGATGGGTCAAGGCCTGTCCCACCTCTAACATTCCCTAGTGCCGTGCATGGGTATCGAGCTGTCACACTCCACAACACCACAAGTAGGAGTCCTGGAAGGAGGTGGAAAGGGGTGGGAACAGTTATTTGGGAGGCACCTATGTTAAGGAAGGAAGAGGTGGATCCTAGCAGAGAGACAGGATCCTGTCATGGTCAACTGGAACAAGCCAAGCAAAGCCAACACATCCACCCTTCCGGCTCTCTGGAAATAGAATGAACTCGGGGGTGATTAGAGGATCAAGTGTAGAGTGGTTAGGGATTCTGGAAAGGGAGGGAGAAGGTCTTGAGAAGTGAGATGTTTCCAGGCAGAGTCTGTCTCCAAATGCCTTTTCCCTTACTGGTGTCCTGGAACCATTAGGTATGAACTCATTGTAACCAGGGTGTAAAGGCTGAGCTGATGCTTTGTTAGCAGGAATCCTCACTATCTGGTTATGGAAGGTAAATGGCAACTAGTCATGAGCTTCCTAGCCAGACTGAGCACCATATGTTTTATATCACATGAGTGTTTCCCAGCATTATGCCTGGAATCTGCCAGTGAGGCATGACTATTGGTTGAGAAGGATAAGAAGGTCTAAGCAGAGTCAATCAAATGACCCTCTCAGATTGTAAATGAGCAATTCAACAGCTGGGCCTAAGACTCACTGTGTGCTAGGTGCTATTCTAGGTGCAGGGAAAGCAGCAGTGAACATAAAGGTTAGGTCCCTGTTCACTTACCTTCTATTGGACAGAGACAGATCAAAAGTTCATAAATAGATCATTGCAGACAGTAATAAATACCATGGAGATAATAAATATGGGTAAATATATAGTGGATGTCTTTGAGATAGACCACTTGAGATACAGATGGTAAAAGAAGTCCTCTCTGAATGTTACGTTTGGGTTGAGACATGAGTGAGAAAATGGAGAAAGCCATGTGAGGCTCTGGAGGAGCAGGGGCCCAAGTAGAGGGAAGAGCAAGTGCAAAGGCAGTACAGCTGCAGCAGCAGTGGCACACTCAGGGAACAACAAATAGAAAGCACTGCAGCCAGGGCACAAGGAGCAAAATAGAGTGACAGGTTCACATGAACATCCACCGTTCAAGACCATGGTTCCCCTGTTAGCTAAACACTGGAACCATCTGGAAAGCTTTTAAAAGTACTGATACCTGGGACACATCTCTAGAGTGTCTGTTTAATTGGTCTGAGGTGTCACTTGGGCATCAGGAGTTTTAAAGTTTCCCAGATAATTCTAATGTGCAACTGAAGCTGTTAACCACTGACAAGCCCATGAGGGCCATGGCTAGGCACTTGGATTGATGACAATTGAGGTTCTTGAGGAGTCTCAGAGATATTCCTCTAGTACTTCAAGCCCAGATCCAAAAAGATCCTGAGAGGCCTTGGAGTTGGGAATAAACCAGGACAATGAAGGAAAAGAGATAACAGGAGACTAAGGTCGAGAGGCAGAGACATCCAGAAAATATGACAAATTGGAAGGTGCAACAACACAGAAGTGCAAATAGACTCAGAGAGCCAGAGACTGGAGGAGGAGAAAAGGCAATCTTGTGTATTAGCTTCCTATTGATACTGTAAAAAATTACCACAAACTTAGGGGCTTGAAACAATACACATTTGTTACTTTATTATTCTCTAGTTTAGAGTCTGAAATGAATCTTACCAGGCAAAAATCAAGGTGTCCGCAATGCTTGGTTCCTTCTGAACGGTCTGCTAGAGAATCCATTCCCTCGTCTTTTGCAGCTTCCAGAGGTCACTCACTTCCTTAGCTTGTGACTTCCTGCCTCAGTCTCCAAAGCCAGCAATGTCAGGCGATCATCTCTCTATGCTACCTATCATAGCATAGAAGTGCATCTTTTACAAAATAGATTGCAGTCACAACTGTAGTCTTATGCTTGGATTTCTGTGTGTTTTATGAGCACTGAGCTGGGAGGGTTGTTCCAAGATGAATGTACGTGTGTTTGTTTGTGTAGGTTTATCAGGGTGTCATATTTGAGTGTCTCCCTGATAAGTATGGGGGAGGGGGAAGAAGGGTGCCTGGAGGGGGTGCCTAATAAAGTCCTGCTGCTCCATAAAGACTTCATGCTGTTATACTCTTGTTCTTTTAATAATAAAACTAATGATAGAGTATCTGTCTCTTTGCCTGTTTTCTTTGAGCATGTCCATCTGTTCCTAAATAATACTGAACATTTATCCCAGTGATATTCAATGTGTATGAGGCTATTCATACACATTATATTTAGCTGTGATGTTTGTATTACGTGAATGCTTCTGTCTGCAATTTGGGCATCTGGACATTGATGGATGCAGACACATGTTATATAACAGTGTGAGTGATCATAGTTGTAGACAGTCGGATGTTTACTTACGTGCACACCCCCATGAGTATCCAGTCAGCTAGGCCTGGCATTGGAAGGGTAGAGAAGCTAGGAAGAGGAGGGAGCAGGGAGGAAGAAGAGAGGTTGGGAGAGGAGCAGGTAAGGAGAAAGAGAGATGAAGGTGAGGAATGAAGGCACAAAGGAACACCAGAAAAATATCAGGAAGCAGGAGGGGTCTCAGGGATCTGTAACTGAAAAAGGCAGGGTTGAGTCACAGCAAGAACACAAGTCAGAAGACCAGGGTAGGGCTCCACTTCTGGTCATTCCCTTGCTATGTGACCTTAGCTATTCCAACTCTCTGGGCCTCTGTGAACTACCAGAGTTGAAATAGATAATACCGGGTACATTCCAAAGAAGGAAGGAAAGAGAGAACTGGAAATAAAAACATACACAGGGAAAAACAGAGAGAAAGAACCAGAAAGAGAGACTCACGAAGAAATTAAGGAGAGGCCCTGGGAGCTGGTCAGAGGTAGAGTTGCGAGAGCTCTGCCCCGACTCCCTGAGGCCGGAGTGTGGGTGCCTGTTCCCCACCCCTTACTTCAGAACTTCAGAGTGCCCTTAAGCCCTTAATAGGTAAGGAAGGAAGATGGAAAGGCGAGAGGCACCGGGAATGAAAACCACACATCAACACTCAGAGGCTTGCCAAAGCCACACAAACCAGGATCTCTACTTCCGGCCCCCAGCCCCCAGATGTAGGTGTGCCAGCCACCTGGAATGAATCACACCTTGGCAATGTGGGCGCACATGCCAAGAGTGAGTCTGGGCACCCGGCCCATGCGCGTACCACAGGCCGAGGGGAAGGTAAAATTGGGGCTCTTCGGGGGTTCACAGAGGGCTACCCTCCCCACACAGGGTTACCCCGCTCCAGACCGCCCTCTAGTGACCACCTCCTAGGCTCGGGGACCCAGGTGTACTATTCTCCCCTCCCTGCTCCCCCAAACCTTACCCGGGAAGCGGGAGAACCAGATGAGGCATTACGCAAGGCCTGGTGTTTACCTCCCGTGGGAGCCTCCTCCCTCCCTATAAAGCCTGATGTCGTGGAGAGATTTGCCGAGACTAAGACTCTGGTTGAAGACAGAGGCAATCCCAGGAGAGGGGCGGAAAGCTGCAAAAGTTAATGCGGGAGTCGGAGAGAAGGGCATCTACACAGCAAGCAGCAGGGGCGGCCCGCCATCTGCGCGCTCGAAGGCGGTCGCGGTGGTCGCGCAAGGGGCGGCGTCCAGATCCCGACTTTCCATGGATGCGCCCGAGCTGGGCCCGGGGCTGGTGGAGCGTCTGGAGCAGCTGGCGACGTGTCCTCTGTGCGGGGGCTCCTTCGAGGACCCGGTGCTTCTGGCGTGCGAGCACAGCTTCTGCCGCGCGTGTCTGGCCCGCCGCTGGGGGACCCCGCCAGCGACCGACACCGAGGCTTCCCCCACCGCCTGCCCCTGCTGCGGCCTGCCGTGTCCCCGCCGCAGCCTGAGGTCTAATGTGCGGCTGGCAGTGGAGGTGCGAATCAGCCGTGAGCTGCGAGAGAAGCTGGCTGAGCCTGGGGCCCGTGCGGGGAGACGCCGAGGGGGGCGCATCCCCACCATGGGCTGCCTGGACCCGCCCGGAGAGGTGAGGTTGGGCGCGCGTCGTGGAGTTGTTGGTGGAAGCCGGAGGTTCATGGGTTCCCCGGGGAAGCCGAGAATGGCAAGTCTGGAGCCGGAGGCCCTGTGGAAGTTCAGGCAAAGGATGGGGTGGGCAGAGAAAAGCAAAGGATGAGGGGGCGAGGGCTGACCCTGGGTCCTCAAGGTGAGAGGCGCCTGGAAGGACGATGGATGGAGTTGACACTTGGTCCACAGGGGAGGAGGCTGGACGGATGCCTGAGCCTTGTGAGAGGGGCTGGAGAGAAGATAGTGGGGAGGCAGAGAAGGGGTACTGGATAGAACGCGCAGAGCCCTGGAGTCGCCGCGAAGGGCACGGGAACTGCACAAGTTTTGGCAGGGCAGCCGCAGGCGCCCGGGAGGAGAAGAGCTGGCGGAGGGGAGGGAGAGGCGGGCGAAAGTGGGAGCCGACCCAGGTGAGGGTGAGTAGGGGGCCTGGGAGGATGGTGGGCGAGGGCAGAACCTGCATAGAGGAGCGGGAGCAGGAGACTGGGCTGGCGGAGAAAAAACTAGGGAGGAGGGGACTGACAAGAGGATGGAGGAAGGGAGCAAGGGGTTGGGGCAAATACAAACGTCCCCGTAGGGTCGTGGGGGTTGGTCCCAGACTCCGGCTCAAGCTAAGCTGTGTGTTGTTTGTTATTGTTATTTCGGCTCCTCCCAAGGCCCCAGGCAGGAGCTGCCATGGGTGGAGGCGAGGTGCGGGAGAACGGCCGCCGGGGCCTCTGGCTCCTCTCCACATCCCAGTCTTACCACCCGTCTACCCCCGCGCCTCTCCTGGGCCCGGGCTCCTTGGCCACCAACCAACCCATTACCTTGCCCGACCCCCGGGCGTCTGGGACTCCTGACTGGCTTCTCCCCAGCAGCCAAGCTGGTCTTGGGTTTTGTTTCTGCCCTTTGAAGTCTTCATAGACCTAATTAGTCTGGGTGTAATTGGCAGAATTAGGCAAATTGTTTGTCTCTCCCTCTCTCTACCATATCGGCCTGCTCCAGACATCAGCACTAGACAGTGAAGTGGAGGGGTCGGGATCCCAGTGTTTGGAGGGGAGCATCCAGCGCCCTCTCCTGGCTCCCATAGTGCTCTATGGATTTGCTGGGCCTTTGGGACACATTCAAGTCTAGCTGCCTCCCTGGCCAGGGTCCAGAGACACAAAGCAAAGGGCCCAATAAACGCCACTGGGCTTTTATTGCAAGAGGGGAAGCAGCTTTATTGTAAGGCTTTTATATACCAACTCTTAGCCCGAGGGCTCTGGGTGTGTGTTTGGGCTGTGTGATGGACGGCAGAAGGGACAGATGGTTTTCTGGGATGCACTGGGAACGATGGATAAGGATGGGGCCACTGAAAGAGACAGAATGGGACTGAGGAGGCAGCAGAGGAAGGCAAGGGCTCTGGGGACAAGAAACAGTCATGGACAAGCCTGGGAACAGAGAATTGAGAACCTTTGGGGAGTGGAAAGGGGGAGGACAGTGGAGATGGAGCTAGGAGGATGAGGGAAAAGTGATGGGGTGAGAGGAAGAAGGGATCATGAAAGGTGAAGGAGGAGAATGAGAGGAAAAGGAGCACAGGGGGTAAGGAGGTGAGATCACTCTGAAAGGTGAGGAGGGACACTGCCAACTCAGACAGAGCTCACCTGAGGAGGGGGGAGATAGGGAGGGATGCCCCAGGGAATGAAGCCCAGAGCTCACATCCATGTTTGTTTCTGCCCATCCTAGGATATGAGGAAGACATGGAGACGGTGAGTTCCACTTTTCTGTTCCTTCCTTTTCACACGAGCTGCCATAGCCATCACGTTCTCACTGGGCCCACACTTTTGTTGCCATTAATAGGCAGGTTTTCTGGGGTACAGCCTCATCCCTTCTCCCTCCAGAGATGTGAATGGGGTATGCGTGGGGGCATTAGCAGCAGAGGGCTGATTTCCTGACCCTTCCCCTCATCTGTCTAGATTTGAAGTCCCAACACCTAAGTCATCTAAATCAGAGGATGATCTCCCTGAAGATTATCCAGTGGTCAAAAACATGCTTCATAGACTGACAGGTAAGGAAAGAAGAAGGGAGGGAAGGGAACTGAATGACAGTCTGTGTTAGATTTTCTTCCTTTTAGCCCTAAAAAGTGATCAGGTCCTTTTTGATGTCTGCATTAGTTTCCTAGTACTGCTGTAATGAAGCACCACAAAGTAGGTGGCTTAAACAACAGACATCTATCTCAAAGTTCAGGAGGTAGAAGTCTGAAATGAAGGTGTCAGCAGTGTTGGTTCCTTCTGAGGGCCATGAGACAGAATCTGTTCCATTCCTGTCTCCTAGCCTCTGGTAGCCTCACATGTTCTTTGGGTGATAGGTCTGCACATTTTCTTTTGTACGCATTTGTCTCTGTGTCCAAATTTCCTCTTTTTATAAGTCAGCAATCTGGATTACAGCCCACCCTAATGACCTTCATTTTAACTTGATTACCTCTGTAAAGATCCTGTTTCAAAGTAAGGTCATATTCTTTGAAAGGAGGTTTGGAGGACTTCAACCTATCTTTGTGTGTATGTGGAGTGGGGGAGGGCACATTTCAGCCTATAACAATGTCTATCCTCGATTCCTCATATTCCAGCCATTTTCCCTCTTCCTTTTTCATACATTCAAACAACAGATCCCTGAAGGTTAAGTGCCTCTCAGAAATCTCTGCTTCCACCACCTCTCATCACTCCTCTCTGGAAGGGGACCCCAGCATCTCCTTGACCCTTCTTTCTTCACTCATTCCCAAGAAGAAGGGTGCCTCTACCCTTCTTTAAACTGCCTAGAGAAGATGGTCCACCCTTCTGGTCATCCACCATCTTGCCCAGTCCAGATTGCTTCCGGCACCCCTAATCCAGAAATCTTTCTTCAAAGCACCTCATACATATAAGACCAATGGTTCTTTCTTTCTGGTCTCTGGCTATCACCACCTGCTCTCCTCTTCTGCCCCACACCCTCTACAGAAATAGGCCTGTCCACCCACCCCCATTCCTGTGGGTGGGTGGGCTGGTTTCTCAGGATACCTTGGATTCCTCCCTGTGCCCCTCCCATCACTTGAGGTTCCAGTATCAGTATGGCTTTCTCTTTAGATGAACAATCCCCATTTGGCTGACCCAGCTCCCATGCCCCACCCCAGATGCTGCAGATTGAGGTATCAGTCCTTACTCCTCCCTCCAAGTCAGATCAGCCTCACTCTTCCTCCCCCAACCCCACAAACCGGACAACCTCTCCTTTGATCTTCCTGCTGTGCTCCCTGCCCTGGACCAGTATGATGCTTCCCCAGGTCCAGTTCTACAGAAGTGGTGCATCAGTGCAAGGTCCGATATTGCCCAGGCCTGCTCTTCACATGCCTTGCTCCTTTTTGGTCCTGCAGCCGCCTTTTGAGCTGTTGTGGGGTCACTAGCACTCAGTCTTTTACGTGATCTCCGTTGACTATTCTCCACCCTACCCTGCCTGTGATATAGAAAACTCTCTAATGAGGTCCTCTCCCTGCCTCCCGCTCTCCAGCCGACCTGACCCTGGACCCTGGGACTGCACACCGCCGCCTGCTCATCTCCGCCGACCGCCGCAGCGTTCAACTGGCCCCACCAGGGACGCCCGCGCCCCCTGACGGCCCCAAGCGCTTCGATCAGCTCCCGGCTGTGCTGGGCGCGCAGGGCTTCGGGGCCGGCCGCCACTGCTGGGAGGTGGAGACTGCGGACGCTGCCTCCTGCAGAGACTCTTCTGGGGAGGATGAGGACGACGAGGAGAGCCACTATGCAGTGGGCGCGGCCGGGGAATCCGTGCAACGCAAGGGCTGCGTGAGGCTGTGCCCTGCGGGGGCCGTGTGGGCCGTGGAGGGCCGCGGCGGCCGCCTGTGGGCCCTCACGGCACCCGAGCCCACCCTGCTGGGCGGAGCCGAGCCCCCGCCGCGGCGTATTCGCGTGGACCTGGACTGGGAGCGGGGCCGCGTAGCCTTCTACGACGGCCGCTCACTGGACCTGCTTTATGCCTTCCAGGCGTCTGTCCCCCTGGGGGAGCGCATCTTCCCGCTGTTCTGCACCTGCGACCCTCGTGCTCCGCTCCGCATTGTACCAGCGGAAAGCTGAGTCCAACTAGAAGTTTGGCCCGGCCACTGGCCCTGCAGCTGCTTCTTTTTGGCGTGGAATTCCCCACTCATTTCTGCGAACACATTCACACACCCATTGCAGGAGTATTAATCCCAACCCACATTTCCCCCCCAAAAAATGAGATCTCACCTGGTCTCCACGTTTCCGCGTCCCTGCTCAAAATCAAACTCATTCCTGCTTTCTGGCTCTCAGAATCTTCTCTTCCCTACAGCTGCTACAGTACTTCCTGACTTCTCCCATTCAAACCACTCTAGGCCTGCAATGGGGAACAAGCCCTCCCCATCAGTAATGGTAAAGTGACCATGTTTCCTACACAGAGGCTCTGCTGGTCAAATACTTGACTCCCACTCTTGCCTCTCCTAGCTCCAAAGAAGGGCTCAGGGCCTTCCCCACAGATCTAAGGACTGGGCTACCCTGCCTGTCCACTGAGGTTCCTCCTAAAACAAGAGGCTTGACTCTGGTCTGGGCCCTGTGGCCCTCTGGGAAGCTTCGTACCCCTTTTGGGGGATCTCGGGGTGGGGAGGGACAAGCTAGTTCCCCAACCTCCTATGGCTGCTTTCTATGCTCACAGCCTTTTTTCCATAAGAACCTTCTTGAAACTTCTCCCTGCACATACTCACAGAAAGGAGCCAATGGTGCTACTTCCCCTCTCCTCCTCAACCTGGGAATACTTCAGATATCTCCAAACTCATCCTTGTGTATAGTCTCACACCCTTCCCCATATGTATAAATGGGCCCATATTTAACACATTTTGTGATTTTGGGTTATTTATTTTGTGCATCTGTGGCAATAAATGAGATCTCAGCGGTGGTATGGATTTGACTGATCTCTGCAACTGTGTATGGCAAAAGGACTGGAAAATGAAAACCAAATCCCAGTAAGGGGTAGAGAGGGCCAAGAGAACTGAACATCTGGGCTGGCAGAGAAATCAAAGTCTAGGAATTAAGAGGTAGGAGTGTAGCACAGGGGATATACCCCAATCTCTTTGCTCCTTCCCTCTTCCTTCCTATCCTAGAGACTCAGGTCCCTGGGACTATATTGGATCTGTCTCTGAAGCTGAAAAACAAAAGGCGGAGGAGATAGTTGGCTCTAAGTGACCAATCTCAGCCATCTTTGTCAGAAATCCTAAATCACAGGAGAAGGGTGGGAAGAAAGGATATGATTATTTCCTGTTCTATTTTCCATAAGAGGTGAGAATGACAAGGACCTCTTTTCTAACTCCTCTTCAGGGCGTGAGGAGGGTTAGCAGGAGGAGAAGGGCTGGGAGCCCTGAGGTCTCCTATAAGACCTCATATCTCACAGTCAAGGACTAAGATTTAGGATTAAATATTTTAGTAGGATAGCTCTAAACCAGGATTAGCAAGCAAAGCTAGGCTGTAAATTCCTGGAATCTGACTGGGACCCTGGCAGTGAAAGCTGGGACTGTTGAAAACCCAATTTAAGTGTTTGCTACTCATGTAGCGTGCAGGGCCAAGATAACTAGATCCCAGGACAGGCAGTTTGGCAGTGAGAACAAAAGGAAGAGACTGGGACCAAGCTGACTAGATCCCTTGAGAGAGAAGGGTGGGTATTGGGAGGAAAAATGAGGACTGGGGGAACCCAGGAGGCTGGGTTGGAATAGCAGCAAGTCATAATTCCAGGATCTCTGTTCACCCTCCTCTTCCTCTTTCCTCTATCAGGCAGAAGAGAGGGAAGGAAGGGGCTGGAGAAGTAGCCACATGAATACATTCAGGGCCAGACAGACACAGGAATGGTGGAGGAGAGAGGAATTTAGTGCTGCATTGGTCCTGGTGGGGGCTGGGAAGGGTCAGGAGGCTGGGGAGGGGTGGTGGGGGTCGGTCCTAGGGTTGCACGACGCCGTCCTTTGCGGTGGCCACGTACACAGTGTGTATGACCACAGCCCTCTTCTTCCTCCTCATCACTTTCCGTGGAGCTCTCGCCAAAGGCCCGAGGTTTCTCATAAATACAGCAGCCTAGATTTAGAGGGAGGAGCCCAATTAAAGAGGAGGAAGGGTAAGATGTATAGTCAGATCCATTCCCACTCAAACTCAGCAAAAATTCCTATTTTCTCCTACGTTCCAGGATCCACCTTCCCCAGGCCCACCCTCTGGGACTCAGGCCCCACTCCTCTTGTCCTCTTAGAGAGCCATGAATTCAAAGCCCTCTTCTCCCACCTTTGATACTTCTTGTCATCAGACCTAGGCAATTCCAGTTCTAGCCCTTTCCTACCTCTTTCCCTGATACCACAGAACCACCAAAAAAGTGACAAAACCATGAGCATCTGGGGGCTTCTGGAAAGCCAGTGGATATGAGCAGATACAAGATACGCTGAAGGGAGCCAGAACTCCAGGGCTACTGCGGGCCAACAATTACTCACATTTTGATGAGCGGCGGCCCATGTGTTCATTGTCCACGGTGTCACTTGTCCATTCCACCTTTTTCTCTGGCTTCCGTTTCCGAAGTTTGATGGTAAGGCTCCGGTTCTCCTAGAAGGTTAAGGATGAGCGTACCTATCTAGTCCCCTCCTACTAACCTTTCCCACTCCCTCCCAGGGAACCTCCTCTCTTATCTTCTTCCGCTCAATCAGTACCACAAGACATAGCACCAGGGGAGTTGTGAGAAGATAAAACAGAACAGGTCTTTGACCTCAGACAGTCCCTTGAGGAATAAGTATTATTTCCTGTTCTTATATCACCAGTATAAGAGAAGGCACAATTCCTGACCTAGGAAAGGTTCCAGCAACTCTTCAAAGTAAAATATAATCCTCGCTGTTTCTCCGTCTTCCTCCCCACATCATCCTTGGTAGTATTAATACATGAAAATTACTTTTCAGTCCCCAGCACCTAATCTTTGATCTTCCTTTTTCCAGATCCCTTCTTCTTTTTCCCATTAAACAAACAAACAAAACCTCTCTCATTCTCAAGCTCCAGCTCTCTCTACCTCTTATCCACCTATTCTCTGGCATCCTGGCATCTCTAGTAGCAAGTATTATTAATCTATTAATTACCAAGCTCCCTTTAATCCAAGAGTATTAAGCCCAACACAATTTTCTCCCTTTGAAGGCAACTTAACATGTTTTTGGAAAAATACTTCTTGTTTCTCCATTTACATCTTTGCTCTCTGATTTCTCAAAATGCCTCTTTTCATCTCCTTTTCTTGTTTCCTCATTCCTGCTACTTCCTTTTACATTCATCCATTCAATAAATATTTATTTAAATATAAGCATGGATAATATTGATAAGTTGGCCTCCAACCATGCTTTCTTACACTACCTTTGACTTCCTCCCAACATCTTCCTGGCTCCTTTATCCTCAATTTCCCATTCGTTCATTACTTATACACATAACCACCCCAAGCAGCAACACCTATATCCTAACTGTACCTCCCTATTACATGATCCTTGACCAGCCTCCTGCACCATCTCTGCCACTCTAAATAGCTCCAATACCTTCCGATTCTCCCAGCCCTAGATATTCAACCCCACACCTCCCATATTCCCAGGCCCAGTTCCTCCAACAACTCTTCTAATCCCTGTCCCCTCCCTCCCAGTATCTCCCAGACCCCTAAACAGCACCGCCCCCCCGCCTTTCTCACGGGCTCGGTTGTCACGGTAACCGTTGTCTCAGTGACGGTCTCGCTCAGCCCAGCCCCTGCCTCGGCCATGGCTAAGGCTCAGGAGAGGGAGGAGAGGAGGAAAGGGGATGGGATGAGACACCCTTCCCTTTTTCTGTCTCTGAGGTCTAAGAGAAGCGGTATCGGATTCAGAGTGGTAGCCAGAATCCTCCACCTTCTTTTTTCCCCCCTCCTCCTGGGCCTCCGTTTCTCCACCCCTGGGGATAACCTGGCCAACCCCACTTCCGGCTCGCCGCTTCCGGGTGTGACGCATGCTGCTGTCCCCCTTTTTCCCTTCCGCGGCACCAAATTCGTCAAAGCGCAGGCGTCGCTGGATTAGTTCCGCCGTAACGTGACGGCGCGCAGGCGCTGAAAGAAAAAGAAACAAATTTGGCGGAAGGGGTGTCGCTGCGGGTGTGGGAGGCGGAGGGAGACTCAAGGGCAGCACGCGTACTCACAGCCTAGCGGAAGCAGAAGGGGCGGCCAGATGAGTAGGGCCGGGCCAGACGCTGCAGAGTGGGTGTGGCGAGGGCGGAGTTGTGTGCACCAAGCTGAGTCCTGCTGCAGATTTCCATTTACCTTGTCTGGATAGCTGGACCGGCGAGGAAACTTGAGGAGCAATAGTAATAAGCCTACGGCGGCCTATTTCCCTTTCCTTGTTTGGTCTGGGTTTCTCTAATGAAAACGGGATGTGGGAGCAGTTGGAAACACATTAAGAGTCAAGCGATGTGGTTCTAGCCCTCGCCTTCTGCCTGTAGGTGTTTAAGCAATTCAGTTTAGTGCACGTTCAGCGTGGGTTTTTTTTCAGTCACTGTGCTAAGCCTTGAAGATGGAGGCGCGTAAGATGCTCAGACCTTGCCTTTTAGCGCCCAGTCTAGTAGAAAAGATAGGCATGCTGAAAACTAACAAAAATATGAAACATTGGGGCATTAACCAATGCCAAGTCGGATTTGTAAATCTGAATGTAGTTACATACTGCCAACATATTCATTCTCTCTGGGGTGATGAGTATGATGAGGCAGATAAATGGTCGTAAATTGCAGTATAGGCCATTTTATAAAAATATATGCAGGTTTCTTAGAGAGCAAAAGAAAGTGGTAAAACAAGAACCAGGAAGGTCAAGTAGGTTTTTTTAGAAGAGCAGCTTAAAAAGTTGTAGATGTGTGCACTACAGGAAATGGAGTTTTGTACCGCTTGAATCTGAGGAAGTGCCAGATGAGGCTTGACAGGTAGGCAGTGGTTATATGGAAGGACCTGTATGCTTTGCTAAGAAATTGAGCTTAATCCAATCACTGTTATGGGCCAGAGAAAGGCTTAAAGTAGGGTGAAAACGTGAACAGGTGTGTTTCAGATTTCAGGCGTGGGTCAGGAAAGTCAACTGCCAGAACAGTTGAAATGTACAATAGGGAAGACTGCACTGCCCATTCTCCAGGTTGCTGTGGGGGTCAAACAAGATAGCTATGTTTGAGAGCTCTGAATAAGTATATGAAGGGCCTCACAATTATATGGTAATTACTACAGTAACCCCTTGATCACAATTTAAGCCAAGGAATGCAGGACCTGAGTATGTATTTGTTCCTCTTGAAAGTTTTTGGTTCGAACAGAAAAAAGCAAGATATAGTTCAGCATGTCTAGTATAGTCCATTTAAAAAAACCAAACGCATATATAGCAACACACATATACAGAGCCACATATATATTCACAAGCACAGATATACAGTACCATTTGCTTATCTCTGTGGAGTAGGATTCCTTGTGACTTTACTTTTTTCTTTCTATCTTTCTATGTAAGAATCTATTATAATAGATATACAATTGATCCTTGAACAACATGGGGGTAAGGGGTGCTGACCCTCTGAACAGCCAAAAGTCCATATATAACTTTTTTGACTACCCCAAAACTTAACTACTATTGACCAGATGCCTTACCAATAACATAAACAGTTGATTAACACATATTTTGTATGTTATATGTATTATATACTGCAATCTTACAATCAAGTAAGCTAGAGAAAACATTAAGAAAATCATAAGGAAAAGAAAATATATTTACTCTTCATTAAGTAGAAGTTGATCACATTTTTATGTTGAGTAGGCTCAGGAAGAGGAAAAGGAGGGCTTAAATGTGCTGCTATCTTATGGGTATCAGAAGTGGAAGAAAATCCACATATATGTAGAATCAAGCAGTTCAAACCTGTGGTGTTCAAGGGTCAACTGTATATTGTATTTATCTCAATAGTAATAAAATACCTATAGTGATCACTTAGTATCAGTTTTTTTGCTGTCCAAATTTATATGCTAAAGAGATCTGGTTAAAATTTCTGTTAAATGTCTCACTATCCAAATCCCTAGTTTTTCTTAACCTAAACTCAGGAAGCAAATAGATTTCAATAGTATGGCAATACTTACAATTGCTTTTTGTTTATATTAGCCTCATTCCTGACTCTACTTTTTTGTCCTTATTTTTCCATCTTTTCTTTTTCATGTATCTCTGTAAACTCATTTAAATTCCTTTTGGAATAAGACAGATTATAAGTAACATACATATGTCAGGGTCTTTTAGGAAAATATAACTTTAATAAGGAAATTCAATTAAGGGTAGGAGTACTCCAGGAACAATGGTAATCCCCACATGATGATCTGAATCTCTTCTAGGAGCAACACATTGCAACCAGATGGGATGGACAAGGCATCTAAAAACCCAGTATCCTTCACCTTCCAAAAGGAGGGAGGGACTGTTGAGTTGCCCAGGAAAAAGGTCAAGAGTCTTCCTTCTCCTGGAACCTATGAGGAAAGAAAGGACTTGTTATATTCACCAAAAGATGAGTTTCTAGTAGTATAAAATAAGATATGCAATCAAATAACCTAGGAAGGACTTTTATTTATGACATCATTGAGGACTGGCTCCCCTAAACAAGCCTCCAATTCTAATTCCAAGACAACTAAAAATTCTGGGATTAAAAATATATCCAATGAATTATAATCTCAAAGCAAAGATTTCTTAGGACACAGAAAGCACTAGCTGTAAAAGAAAAAAAAAAAAGGATAAGCTGGACCTTATAAAAACTTAAAACTTCTGCTCATTTAAAGAGGGTTAAGAAAATAAATAGGCAAGCCACAGGCTGGGAAAAAATTCTTCTTCTTTTAATTTTTTTAATTTTTTTTTTTGGTAAAATGACAATCAGTGATAGGAAAAAAATACTTTTAAAAGATATATCTGACTATGAATATTTTTAATCTTTTGATGAGATGGCAAGAAAGTAAAGGCAGTCTTCATACTGGTTAAAAGTTCTGTAAAACCAGAAATCCAGACAGTGAAGTTAAAACTGATGTCCCTATGAAATGTGACAGTGACACTATGGTGCCCTTTATACTGTTGCAACAGTCACTGGAAGCATAGGAAATGAGGGACAAAATGTGTAAGGTTGATAGGAGATCCTGTGCATAAATTTGGGAACTGCAAAAGGCTGCCCTTTTTTGTAAAAGTGAACAACAAAAGAAAAAATTCAACTCTATAGAAGGGGAATTTGACTGTCTCAGTAGGTAGAAAGAGAGAAAACTCTTTCCTGAGAATTTCTAGCCATAAGCTAGCCCTTACATGGATTTGCAGCTCAAATTCATACTATCTGTGTGCTCCAAAAAACATGAAGCCAAGAATTTATTTAAAGTAATTCCAGCTTGATAGTGCTTCAAGGTACCTAGAAAAGAAACACAAATGCTGAGAATACAGCACTTACCCAAGGCCTCAAAGAATTCCTACAGTTCAAGTTCTAAAAAACTCAAATTTATTGTCAAAAATTACAAAACAAAGAAAAAAGCACTATGAGAGAGACAGCAGAAACAGACAGCAGCATCAGACACACAAAATCCATGGATATCAGAATTATGAGACATAGAATATAATAACTATATTTAATATTTTATATATTTAAAGACTAGTAAAAGGAACAATTTAAAATATGATTAAGGAACTGAGAATTATTTAAAAATTGAGATTTGAAAAGTAATTAAATAGAACTCAAAATAATAACAATAGTAAAAAATAATAATACTTGAAATAAACTGAAGACAGAACTAGTGACATGGAAGAGGAACCTGAAGAAATTACTCAGAAGGTGGCATAAAGAGAAAAGCGATTGAAAATATGAAAAGAGGGCGAGAGAAATGGAGGACAGAAGAGAGAAATCTCATTCTAGTAACTAATTAGAGGTCCAGAATGTGAGGACTGAGAACATGGGGGAAAGAGAATATTAAAAGAGATGATGGCTGATAATTTTCCAAGGTTGATGAAAAAAAAATCCACTCTAGGCTGGGCGTAGTGGCTCACGCCTGTAATCCCAGCACTTTGGGAGGCCAAGGTGGGTGGATCACGAGGTCAGGAGATTGAGATCATCCTGGCTAACACAGTGAAATCTCGTCTCTACTAAAAAACACAAAAAATTAGCCGGGCGTGGTGGGGGGCACCTGTAGTCCCAGCTATTCAGGAGGCTGAGGCAGGAGAATGGCGTGAACCCGGGAGACGGAGCTTGCAGTGAGCCGAGAACACACCACTGGACTCCAGCCTGGGAGACAGAGCGAGACTCTGTCTCAAAAAAACAAAACAAAACAAAAAACAACAATGCACTCTCAGTTTCAGAAAGTCCAACAAATCCCAAACAGAATAAAAGAAAATCACATTTTGATATACTATAGTGACTGCAGAACACCAAAGACAAAGATGAGGTCTTAAAAGCATTCACAAAGCCCATGTTCTCTAAATCATGTGTGACTAATTCTCTCCAAAGTAAAGCTACCTTGACTGCGGTTGAAGACTGCAGTATAAGACGCTGACCACTAAACAATACTTGCTTCTTACGGTTTTTTTTCTTCATTTCCTTTTAAATATCCTAAAAGAAGGTCAGGCAGGGTGGCTCATGCCTGTAATCCCCAGCACTTTGGGATGCTGAGGTGGGTTGATTGAGCTCAGGAGTTCAAGACCAGCCTGGGAAACAGAGAGAAACCCTATCTCTACTAAAAATACAAAAAACAAAACAAAACAAAAAGCCAGGTGTGGTGGCACGTGCCTGTGGTCCCAAAGCTATTTTGGAGGCTGAGGTGGGAGGATTACCTGAGCCCAGGAGGCGGAGGTTGCAGTGAGCCAAGATTGCCTCACTGCACTCCAGGCTAGGTGACAGAGCAACACCCTGTCCGTAAAAAAAAAAAAAACCTAAAAGGTTTATTTCACTGGTTACAAAAAGGGTTAAAAAAGTGTAATTTAAAAAAATAAAAACTACAAATCTCCCTCTTACCAGAACTGCACAGAAATAAGGGATGGGACGAAAGGACACAGCCGTTTAGTACAAAAAAATAAATCACTGGATTTGTTTATTAGTTAGCAAACAGACTGAGCAAAGGGAGGGGAAAGGATACCCACTTGCAGTTGGTACAGGTGTAGAAGACAGTTTGCCCTTCATCGGCTGAACGCATCTGTCTGGTGTGGTATGCCATTCCTTCATGACCACATCGAGGGCAGCGCCTGTCAACCTGGGAAGAAACTGGTGGGTTATGGAGGCCAGGTCATATCATACCCTTACTTCCCACAGGAATCAGGCGATCACGCCTCTCAAACATCGATGCTTTACATCTTTTCCCACTTGGAATTGGGCACAAAACTCTCCAGATCTCTGCAATCACTCCTCCATTTCTTTCCTACCCACCTTATGGAGCCAGTTCTTGATCTCATTAACTTACCACAGGTCCCTGGCACTCAGGCCCTTCCTCCACCGACATAGGCATGGCTGTCCCCAGTTGGTGGAACACAACTGAAGTCTTCACAACCTTCCCCTCAAAGTCTGCACAGGCAAGTAAGACGGGTTATGGAGACAACCTGAGGGAGCTGACACCGGAAACTTCCCCTCTCCCCTGGCTGGTTAGGCCAGGAGGCCCTATATCCTTTCCCTCAGTTTTCATCGCTGGACCAAATGTACAACTGCCTGATGTCCTGCTCTAGGATCCCCTTCTCAACCCAACCGATCTTGAGTTCCCCAAGCTTCCGATCCTGGGCCCTCCGCCAGGACCCCTGTGTACAAGCCTCTCACCCCGAACGTTGATGTTGAAGCCACAGCGAGTACAGGTGACCGTATCCTGAGCCCCGGGCAGAGGCAGGACCGAGCCGCAATCTGAACAGAAATCCAAGTCCGACTGAAAGCTGGAGCAAGTACCGGCGAGGTCCATGACAGACATGCAGTCGGGTCTGAGGAGGGAGTTAGAAGTTTATTAACAAAAGAGAGAAGAGTTCCTGCCCCAGAGGTGGTAACTATTCCGTCCCAGGACGTAGGAGTATATAACCCGAGTCCTCCTCCCACGCACGCCTCCTGCCTCTGCGACCAAGGAGCCGAAACGCCCGGAACTCCCAGACAGCGTCGGGTACTAAACCGACTTGGAACCCTTTCCTGGGGCCGGCGAGAGGAGCTGGCCAACTCCGTGGGCTAGAGCGCCAGCTCTGCGCCCGCGGCGGGGCAGCGAGCTAGAGCCGGCTAGAGCGTCACGCTTTCACGCTGACGATTGGCTGTGACGTCATAATTAATTGCGTACCGTGTCTCGGAAGCCTTAGAGATGGAGAGTCGCCACTTCTAAGGGAGGTTGGGGCTCAACTTTCAGGCTGGTACTGAGACGTTGAGCACAAAATTGGTAACCAATGCTGCGCTTCCAGCAAATTTTCCCACCAGCACCGAATCCTGGGATATTTATTCTCTGTTTCACATCCTACGGGAACCCAATCGCGGGGGAATATCCTCCTGAAAACCGTACTTTGCTGAATAATGACTTCTTTGGATTAGAGAACTACAACTCCCCTGGGTCCTGAGCTGGTATTTCCCTTTTGCGGCTGCACAGTAGTTAAAAACAAAGCTAAGTGTTCTGGCATGTATAGTTCTAGCGTTCCTTGGGTCCCGCTGGCGAGCGTGGGCTTTCTGCAGAGCGCAGCCGGCCTGTGTGCTTTGCGGACGGTTCACCGCGCTTGGAAAGGGGTGAGTCGGCTTCTTGAGGGACAGCAAGTGGTGAGGGTGAAGGCCAGAGGAATCCTTAGTCCCACGGGACGAAAGGAAGCAGGGATGAAGTGGGACACTTGAGAAGGGGCTCAGGACTTTGGAGGTGGTAGAACAGAAGAGCTTGGGGCTTCCCCTCCTTCGACTCCTGCCAGATAAGTGAGGCTAGCAGTAGTCAAGAAGCTCATTAAGTAGGATTTCATAAGACTTAGGTCGAGTTTGGCTTTTAGTTGTGCCTGCCGCTTATCGAACTCTTAATTCATTATTCGTCATCCATTAAGTGGACAGCTGACATTTCCCTGATCTTTTATAAAACATGGGAATAAGTTTCTTTCGGAAATCTTGCTATTTTCGTTACTCTGTAACTTATATTCGAAGTAGAAACTTTCCCTGAAGGGGCAGCTTGTCGTTGTTTACTAGTTTCCTGCTAGTCCTCCCACCACCACCTACTCTGATAGCTGTGCTAAGTTCCTTCATATGAAAGTTCTGGAGCCATCACTATTTTGTCCTGTGAAGGACACAAGCTGTAGTCTTTTCGCTGGGAGAGGCTCCCACCTGCCTTTCTCTGTGATAATGGAGAGAACACCATAGTTAAAGGGTTAAAACTCAGCAAACTGCTGAAGAGTGACAAGCCCTATCACTTAACTGTGAAATTGCTTGTTATTCTGTCTGACAAAGGGAGATGTGTTGTTGAGCTGATTGTCGTAGACAGTTTTTATTCTCACTTATCTGTGTGTCTCCTTTGAAAATGGAACTTGAAATTCTACCCTTCTCAATTTTCTCTTTTTAATTTGAAAAACACTCACCCAACATCCCCTGTGAGTTGCAGTAAAGAACAAAGCATTGAAAGGCATATCCTTTTCCCAACAGAAGCTCACAATCTATTCAATAAAGTATTTATTGAGCAACTATGCCAGGTTTTGAGCTGAGGCTGAACCTGCAAAGTTGAAATCTGTGTTCTTTGACCTCAAGGAACATGAATGAATAATTAGAATACAATAAAAGTGTGCCAGGAGGTACAAAATGTGAGAGCCCAGAACATACATATAAAGCAAACATATCTGTAAACTTCAAGGAAGACTGGGAAATGATTTAATAAAAATATAGATACAATGTTATGGCAGATATTTAAAAAGATGCTCAGATATTATGTGTCAAGGATCATCAGCAATCAACAAATCATTAATTTTGAGAATTTGGGATCACAGACTCTAATGTTAAGTACTGTGCTAGAAGCCATGTACAGAGAAGTAAAAGTAAGGTGATCGTATGTTTAAAATCTCAAGCTTACATAGACAAATAAGAATGTTCCTAAGAGGTCAATGAGACCAAATATTTGATATCAGATCCTTTCCAACAATATAGAGGCATATTTGTAGATGTAAATTACAGTTTTCCTTCCTTATGAGCCTAAATGTCAGCACCAAAATGTTAAAAGTGATATATGAATACAGATATCACAGTGTAAACCATGATTAATTTTCAAATGAGTTGTAGAATTAAAATATGTCAAGTATTTAGAGGAAGGGAAAATCACTGTGACAGAGTAGACCAGAAAGACTTAATAGTCAGGAGCTTGACCTGTGAAGGACAGATAGAATTTATTGAGAACTTACCAAATGAGTTGTAGAATTAAAATATGTCAAGTATTTAGAGGAAAGGAAAATGACTGTGACAGAGTAGACCAGAAAGACTTTATAGTCAGGTACTTGACCTGTGAAGGACAGATAGAATTTATTGAGAACTTACCAAGTTCTTTACATCTAATTCATATTTGTTCTTTATAACCCTGAGAGGCAGATTTTTGTCTTACATCTCCATTTTATAGATGAGAAAGCTGACAGAAGTTACTTGCCCTGAGTCACACACCTAGGAAGTGGTGGAATTAGGATTCAGATCTAGCCGTGTCAGACTGTAAAGCCCATCCTTTGAACTGTAAATGGTATAAAAGGCATAGAGAGGAAATGCCAGACATCCTCAGGGGCTTAAATACGACCTCACAGTAAACTCAGGCTAGACCAGGGATGACACATAAAGGTTGATAGTTTTCGTTTGTGTTGCCATCAGCCTCCTCTATAAATAAACCCAGAGTAATCACAAATTCCCATCCTTAGGGGTTCAACAGGGAATAGTCTCATAATAGATTTAGAGTGAAGGATGATTGGCATTGTAAGGCAGGCAAGCAGAGGGCTGAGCAATCAAATAAAAAAATTTCAGAACAAAAGATTAGAGGGCAGAAATGCTGTATGTGCTGATAGAGGCAGAGAGGGCCCGGATCAAGAAACTGCAGGAAGAGAAAACTAGAAACCTAGAATCATCTAGAAAACTAGAACCTAGAATCGTCTCAGAACACAGAGGAGGCTTGAGGACTGAGCAGACTGACATAGATGTACTTGGACAACACCTCACCAAGGAGCATGTCTCTTCCCACTCACAATCCCCAATACGAGATTCACAGTGGTTCACGCTGAGTCCACAGGAAAAGTATGCTTGTTCATATGAAAGGAAAGATCCTCTTATTAAAAGAGCATTCATTATTTTCTACCATAGGAATGCAGTGGTTTCCCATGCGGGAAATGGCCCTGCTGTAGTCCTGCCTATTAGCAGGTTTGTTCTGACACCTCCTACATTTGTATCTACCTTTGCTTTTTTATCTTTCAGATTGGCCTGGGGTACATCATCTAAAGATCCTAGGATTGCTGCAGGTCAGCAGTCTCCATTGGAAAAAAAGATCTTGGTAAGTAAATCATCTTCACATCATACAGTTTGGAACTACACAGAGAAGGAATCTTAGGTTTAAAATCCTTCTGCCCAAGTGACACATTCAGGTAGTATGTCTACACTGGCAAATGTTACCCAGCTATATCCACAGTTGCAAAACAAAGTATCATTTTGAAAACTTCCAACACCATACATTTTTAAAACTACTTACTGATTTGTGGTGGTGACTACTTCATACTTTCAGAGCTCACAGGCTCACCTGGGAGTGATGGGAATAAAATAACAAGCTAAAGTAAAGAGCATGTAGCTGTTCTGGTATCGTTAGGGAGGGTGGGCTTGGCTCCTGTTTAAATGCGTTCAAAGGAAAAAGATGATCACATTATAAATTTCTGACTTCACTTTGACAGAATCTAGGTGGTGTGCATACAACAGCAGCAAGACAGTTGATAACTCAGAAATATCAGGAGGAGTGTGAAATCCTCTGTAGGGAGCAAGCTGTTTCTCTTGACTACTGGCTTGCCAAAGCAGAGTCTTATTATAATAAAATAATATTGGAAATGATGAAAGAAGAGACAGGCAATGAAATCAAGAAAAAAATGGAGAAGAAAACAACCCGAAACATAGAAGGACTAAAACAGTGCCATTTGATACCTGAGAGAGAGGTGAAACACATAGAAAGGCACATATATCAAACAGGACAGGCTGGAGAATTTAAGAACAAATCATTTAGACAAGTACTGCTACCCCCCAGTGAAACAAAATTACCAAACATTGTGCCAGAAGGGCATGGCATCCAGAACGCACAGAGAAGAAAGCAGGTAAATGACAGGGAACAGATGCAGATTAAGGATCACCAGGAACGCATGATTCGAGGGAGAGAACTTACAGAGCAAAGACTCAAGGAAAGGATCTTAAGAAGAAGCCAGAGCCAGCTACCTACATATGAGAAGCGGGAGAGAGTAAAGAAAGAGATAAAGGAGTTTGAAAGAGTTATTGCATATCCTCTTTTCCAGCCATGCAGTAGAAGTCGGATTAAAGTGAATATTCTAATGGAAAAGTCTCAGAATGGAGAGAAAGTGAATACAATTGTGAAACCATATCAAAGAAAATTCTTGGCCATGCCACCCTTTTTAAGAAGTCAAATAGGAAAAATAAAAGATTAAAGTTTCAATGCTGTTATGATAAAATCATATCTCTTAAGTGAATCCCCCCCTTTTTTTTAAATGCGTGTTCTCATCTCTCCAGGGTTCAGTGAATATTCCCATTTGTATCAGACACAGATAGATAGTTCTGGACTTGAAAATTAGCTTAACTATTTTTAGTTGACTTGCATTTGTTCAAGTTGCATATCCTTTCTAGTGTTCAGTATCCTCATCTTTAAAATGGCAATAATAATATTTGATTGCATTTGTGGAAGGACTTATTGTGTTTGTGAAGTGTAGATATGTATTAGTTGTTTCATAAATGTTAGTTTCCCCACTTGGGAAGATGGGGGTTGGGCGATGGGGTGAATAAAGAATTATTCTAATCTGCTTCTCTTATTCTCCCTGCTCCCAGCCCTCCAAGGTTATTTTGATGAGATCGATATAGTTTAATATATGGTCTTTAATATCATACCTTCGTCAGATAACTACTAGCCAGGCCCTAAAAGTGTAACTTGCCCTGTACAATTTATTTGTATGAGAAACTTAATTTTGAGAGCCTTCTACATGCTAGGCATTGTGTTAGTTACTGAAGGTGAATAAAGAGAAGTCTCTGCCCTTGAATAGCTTTCAGCTAATGGCATAGATCACTGTATAAACAGATAATGTAGTAAAGGTTACAATAGCAAGGTACAGGGTGCTTCGCAAAGGGCGGATTCTAACCTGGCTTAGGTGAGCAGGGTGAAAAGGAGGAAGGTTAGGGAAGAGAGTATAATAGTCTCTCATGTTTCTTCCAGCTCTTTTTGTCACTTTCTGTCACCCACTTAAGCAAGACCTTCCTAATGTTTGGATCCACTCAGAGGTAATCAAACTCATCCTTTGTCAAACTCATGCCTTTGTCACTCATTGATAAATCAGAAAGCAAATTTATAAATTTAGTGAGAATTACAGTTGTCAAGCAGAATGAAATTTATGTTTTTTAGTCAGTTTGTTTTCTTTCCAGATACTAGAAAATTGGGAAAGCAGGGGTTCAGAGTTGGCAAGCAGAGAAGCAAATAAATGGAAATGGATGCTCTCAGGAATCTTATTCTTAAGTTGTGATAATTCTGATGCCCACCTTGCTTTACTAGCAGAACACCCTTTAGCCTGGATATTGCTAGGTCAGCCACTGATAGAAATGTTCTATGTCTGTGCTTCTCAGTACTGTAGCCCTTGCTACAAGTGGCTGTTGAGGCATTCAAAATGTGGCTAGTGCAGCTGTAGAATGGAATGTTTAATTGAATTTCATTTAAATTTAAATTGCCACATGTGGCAAGTGACTGCCCTGTTGTACAGTGCAGCACTGGATAAACATAACTCCTGTGTTCTAGACTCCAGTCCCACCATTAGCTTTCTGTTTTTGACAGTGTTTGCTGGTATGATAGGTCACTGCTCATTTTACATTACTATCAGTTTAGTTTCCTTTGTATTTCAGAGGCTCCCTAATCCCTTAAAGAGATTTAAAAATCAATGTAAATCACTTCTGTGTGAAGATAAGGTGGCTGAATTTGCTTTGATTGGAATTAGGAACTGGCCCTCTCTTTGCTAGTTCTGGAATTTGGCCAGGATGCACATCAAAATCTCATTCCTACCCTCCTGATTTGCCTCATGCAAACTTTGTTGCTGTGTCTGTTCTCTGGTCTTCTATTGCTATGTCTCAGCTTTAGATTCTATGTCTTGCATAGAAACAGATCATCAGAATGCAACAGACGGAAGACTTAGAAGTGCCAATCAGTAGGGTAATGACAAACCCTTTGAGCTGAGTGGGACTGAAAAGTAACCTAACACATAACCTATTAGTAATTGTTCACCTTGAAGATTTTCAGTGCTGGACACATAAATTGCTGAGTTCAACTGCCCTCTTTCCCCTCCAAATCTAGCATAAAAGCAACTGGTGATCTCAGGGCAATTTCATACATAATATGACTAAGAATAAAAATCTGTGTTTCAGGAGCTCACTTTGTCCAAACCTGAACCCATCAAATTATATCTACCTTTTCATTTCCTTGCACTGTGTCTGCTTAAATCTTGAGTCACACTTAACGCTTTTTTTTTTTTTTGTCTTTTTTCTTTTTAATGTGAAATAGAATATACAATACACAATACAATATACAAATGAAATATATATTTAGAAGAACAATAATAAATGTCCAGGTGCCCATTGCTCAAACTGAGAAGTGGAACATTACTACATCCCAGGAGCCTCGTATACTCTCCTCATTCATATCTCTCTCCCCCACAGCCAAAATCAACCACTATCCTGAATTTTGTATAATTGTCACCTAACTTTTATAAATTTTACTGTCTGTGTATCCCTAACAGTTGCTTATTTATAGCCTTTATATAAATAGAATTATACTGTATATGATTACTTTTGCTCATTATTATTTTTGGATTCATCCATGTTGATGTGTGACACGGTAGTTCATTTCCATGACATGAATATACCACAACTTAATTATATATTCTGTTAATGTCATTTGGTTGTTTCCAATTTTTGTTTTATTTTTCTTTTAAAAATGATACTTAGATAAACATTCCTTTAACATATTTAATCTTATGTTCTGGTGCCTGTGTACCATATATATATAAGGTATATAAATTGTGGTACATTTATTTGACAAGCCTGATCTTGGAGCCTGTTAGATTTCTATTCCATTGTGGTATTATGCCTGTAAGCCTGTTCTGTAGAGTCTGGCACATGTTAGCCTCTTGATAGATATTTTTTGAAAGAAAGGACATTTGTTAACTGCTGGAGAGAGCCAGAACCAAAATACAGAAATAGCTGATAACAGACCACTTTACCTTTTTACTCATCCTGTCCAGGTACAATCATAGTCAACCTTTGTTTATGCTTATATTTCAGTTGAGGTACTAAAATATTTGTTTACTTAGTTGGTTTTCAAAGAGCTTCCAGTACAGGATTTGTTTCTGTCACTTTTCCCAAAACTTTCACTCCCCTGCCTTCTAGTAAAGGTCACCCACATGTCCTCAAGGCACCTGCAGCATGAAAGTTTTATTTCTGAACAAAAGCGTCCCCAGAGAAGATGACAAGGAGTCTCCTTTCAGTACGAGGTTGCTGGAGTCCTTAGAGGGTCAAAGGCTGTGTAATAACAGTTCCTTCTTGTCTGCTGGACAAAAGCTTCTTAGCCCTCAAGCACCCTGCGACTTAGTTCTGATAGAGTACAGAGTTTGGAAATGGTAGAGTGGTCACCCAAAACAAATCTCCCAATTCCACATTCAGTTTTATCCAGCTTTTCAAATAAGATGAAAAAAATGTTCATGTCTATTGATTTGTGCGTGTTGAACCACCGTTGTATCCCTGGGATAAATCCCTATTAATTGTGGTATATTATCTTTTTGATATGTTGTTGGATTCAGTTTGCTAACATTTTGTTCAGGATTTTTGTATATATTTTCACTAGGAAGATTGGCCTGTAGTTTTCTTTCTTTCTTTCTTTTTTTGTATTCTCTGCTTTTGGTATCAGGGTAATACAGGCTTCATAAAATGAGTTAAGAAGAATTCCCTCCTCTTGAGTTTTTTTTGAAATATTTTGAGAAGTATTGCTATTAATTTTTTTTTGTATGTATGGTAGAATTTGACAAGAGAGCCATCCGGTCCTGGGCTTTTCTTTATTGAGACACTTTTAATTACTGATTCAGTCTTATTACTCATTATTGGTCTGTTCAAGTTTTCTATTTGTTCCCGGTGAAATCTTGTTAGGTTGTATGTGTTGCCAGTTGTGGTGGCTCACGCCTGTAATCCCAGCACTTTGGGAGGCTGAGGCGGGCAGATCATGAGGTCAAGAGATCGAGACCATCCTGGCCAACATGGTGAAACCCTGTCTCCACTAAAAACACAAAAATTAGCTGGGCATGGTGGCTCATGCCTGTAGTCCCAGCTACTCGAGAGGCTGAGGCAGGAGAATCGCTTGAACTCGGGATGTGGAGGTTGCAGTGAGCCAAGATTTCGACACTGCACTCCAGCCTGGGCGCCAAGATTTCGACACTGCACTCCAGCCTGTCTCAAAAACAAACAAACAAACAAACAAACAAAATCTGTTTATGGTAAAACTCTCAACAAAGTACAGAAGAAACATACCTCAAAATAATAAAAGCCATATATGGCAAGTCCACAGCTATTATCACACTAAATGGGGAAAAACTGAAAGCCTTACCCCTAAGAACTGGAAGAAGATAAAAATGACCACTGTCACCACTCCTATTCATTATAGTAATGGAAGTTCTAGCCAGAGCCATCAGGCAAGAGAGAAATAAAAGGCATCCAAATTGGAAAATAAGTCAAATTGTCCCTCTTTGCTGCTGTTGTGATCTTATATCTAGAAAAACCTAAAAGTCTGCCAAAAAGCTCTGAGATCTGATAAATAAATTCAGTAACATTGCAGTATACAAAATCAACATGCAGACATCAGTACTATTTCTATACACAAAGAACTAGCTGAGAAAGAAATTAAGAAGCCATTCCTATTTACAATAGCTACAAAAAATGCCTAGGAATATATTTACCAAGGAGGTGAAAGATCTCTACAAGGGAAACTATAAAACACTGATGAAAGAAATTGAAGAGGACATAAACAAATAGAAAGACATTCCATGCTCACGAATTGGAAGAATATCAGTAAAATGATCATACTGCCCAAAGCAACCTACAGATTCAATGCAATCCCTACCAAGGACATACTTCATAGAGACAGAAAAAACAATCCAAAAATTCATAATGGGCTAGGCACGGTGGCTCATACCTGCAATCCTAGCACTTTGGGAAACTGAGGCAGGTGGATCACTTGAGCTTAGGAGTTCAAGACCAGCCTGGGCAACATGGCAAAACCCCATCTCTACAAAAATTACAAAATTAGCTGGGTGTGGTGGCATGTGCATGTAGTCCCAGCTACTTAGGGGGCCGAGGCAGGAGGATCGCTTGAACCTCAGGAGATTAAGGCTGCAGTGAGCTGGTATTGCTCCACTGTGTTCCAGCCTGGGTGACAAAGTGAGACCCTATCTCAAAAATAAAAGAAAAAAATTCATATGGAACCACAAAAGAGCTCCATCCAATAGCTAAAACAATTCTGAGCAGAAACAACAAAGCTGGAAGCATCACATTACTTCTCTTCAAAATATATTACACAGCTGTAGTAATAGCTTTGTAACTATTATAGTAGGAACCAAGTCAGCATGGTACTGGCATGAAACAGACACATAGACCAATGGAAAGAATAGAGAACCCAGAAATAATTCCATGTACTTACAGCCAACTGACTTTCAACTAAGGCACCAAGAAAGGACACCCTTTTCAATAAATGGTGCTAGGAAAACAGGATATCCATATGCAGAAGAATGCAGCTAGGCTTGTATCTCTTACCATACTAAAAAATCAACCAAAAATGGATTAAAAGCTTAAATGATAGACCCAAAACTTAAAACTACTAAAAAAGAACATAGGGGAGATGCTCGAGAACATTGATCTAGGCAAAGATTTTATGGTTAAGACATCAAAAGCATAGGCAACAACAACAGCAACAACAAAAAAATAGGCAGGTGGGACTATATTAAACTAAAAATCTGCACCGCAAAGAAAACAACAGAGTGAAGAGACCAACTGTAGATGGGAAAAAAATTTTCAAATTATCCAACAGGGAACTAATATCTAGAGTGTACAAGGAACACAATTCAACAGTAAAAAAATAAATAATCCCCTTAAAAATGGTCAAGGGATCTGAATAGAAATTTCTTTAAAAAAAGACACACAAATGGCCAACATGTGTGTGAAAAAAATGCTCAACATCACTAATTATTAGGGAAATTTAAAGCAAACCACAATGAGATATCATCTTACCCTAGCTAGAATAGCTATTATTAAAAAGACAAAAATGGTATCCAGGATGTAAAGACAAACTCTTGCACACGGTTGGTGGGAGGGTAAGTTAGTACAGCCACTATGGAAAACAGTATGGAGATTTCTCAGAAAACTGAAAATAGATATATGTGATCCAGCAATACCACCACTGGGTATTTATCCAAAGGTAAGGAAATTGATGTATCAAAGGGATACTGGCACTCCCATGTTTACTATGGTACTATTTACAATAGCAAAGATAGGGAATCAACCTAACTCTCCATCAATGGATGAATAGATTAAAAAGATGTGGCATATATACACAATGGAATACTATTTAGCTTTAAAAAGAACAGAATCTTGTCATTTCCACTAACATGGACAGAACTGGAGGTTCTGATATTGAGTGAAATAAGCCAGGCACAGAAAGACAAATATTGCATGTTCTCACTCACATGTGTGAGCCTAAAAAAGTTGATCTAATCGAGGTAAAGAGCAGAAAGATAGTATCCAGAGGCTGGGAAGGGTGTGTGTGTGGGGGTGGGGTGGGGCGCAGGGGGCAGTGTTGGAGAGAGGTAGGTTAATGGGTACAAACGTACAGTCAGAAGGAATAAGTTCTAGTGTTTGGTAGCACAGTAGGGTGACTGTAATTAACAGCAATATATTGTGTATTTCAAAATAACTAGAAGAGAAGACTTGAAATGTTCCCAACACAGAGAAATAAATGCTTGAGGTAATGGATATCCTATACCCTAACTTCATTATTAGATACTATGCGTGTATCAAAATATCACATGTACCCCATAAATATGTGCAAATATTATGTACAAATAAAAAGTCACACTCTATGCTTTATTTACAATTTTTGTCTATTATACCTCAATAAATCTGGAAAAAAATGTATGCAATCAAAGTTTTAAAGTATATTCCCCAATATGTGCAACTGTTACTACATTGAATTTTAGAATATTATCATCACCTGAAAAAGAAACCCCATGCTCTGTAGCTATTCCTCTCTTATCCCCGCTTGCCCATCACCCCAAACCCTAAGCAAGAATTCACCCCAAACCCTAAGCAAGAATTAATCTATATTGTATCTGTATGGATTTGCCTATTTTGGAAAATTCATATGTAAATATAATCATATATGGTCTTTTGTGATTAATTTCTTTCACTTAATGTTTCCAAGGATCATTTACATTATAGCATATATCAGTACTTCATTGCTTTTTCCTACATTCCATGGATGTATCACATTTTTTTATTTATCAGTTTATAGACATCTGGATTGTTTCTGTCTTTTGGCTAATACAAATAATGCGTCTATGAATGTTTATTTACAAATTTTTGTGTGACACATTTTTATTTCTATTGGGCATATACCTAGGAATGGAATTGGTGAGTCCTTTGGTATCTCCATTTTTAATCAGTTGAGCCACAGCCTGACTCCTTCCGAAGGGACTACGTAATTACACATTCCTGCTAGCAGTGTCTGAGGGTTCTCATTCCTGCATATCTTTAACAACACTTATTATCCAATGTTTTGATTCTAACCATTCTATGACTGGGAAGTGGTATCTCATTGTGTGTGTGTGTGATTTTTTTTTTTTTTTTTTTTTTTTTTT